TAATCATTTCCTACTATTATTTAAATTCTAATTTTAACAATGTTTTGTTGATTACCATTCAAAAGTTTGGGGTCTGTTTATTCTTATTTATTTAGATTCTAGATTTATTTAGAAATTATTACTTTTATTCATTGTGGTTGCATTAAAATGATCAAAGTAAAGACTTTTACACAGTAAAAAATATTCATATTCTGACCTTAGGAATTTCAAAGAAACCTAAAAACATGTATCCCGTTTCCACAAAAATATTAAGCAGCTCAACTGTTTTCAACAATTAATTGTTGCGTCTTACTCTGGTTCATTTTCATAGTGTGTTGTCATCATCACTTTTTGTAATAAATATAGAATGAGGAGTTGTGTTGTGATGTCTTCACTTGTGTTACAGTAGCGGCCGTAACAATAAAAAAAAGGTTTCTTGAGCACCATTCAGAATGATTTCTGAAGGAAGTAATGGATAAGGTAAATAAAACTTTTCCATCACATGAATTATTTACATTTTTAAATATAGTAAAATAATAGTTATTTTTTTATTTTTAAATATTACTGACCACAAATTTTTAAACGGTAGTGTACAGCATGACAATTGGCTCATGACAATTTCCCTTCAAGGACATTTCATTCAATTAAATTGAATTCATTATTAACAATGAAATTCTACCTCTACAATGTAACACGGACCAATGCTGAGGGAAGGAAAATTGAGGCAAGGGGGGTAGACTAGGTCGATTTTCAGATAATGTGACACCCTCGGGCATTTTTGAGTAAAAGTTGGCAAACAGACTTTTCTAGGGGTATTTTTTCTGCTGAATCCATTTTTGCTGTTTGCCAAGCTGTATCTCTTATGTGAAACTCAGTAGAGCGCAAAGTCCAAGATGACCTCTAAAATGTCAGGAAATTCCATATTTTAAAACTTAACATCATACACAACATCAATTAATGAGTATATAAAGTTGATTTAGGTGGGAATTAAGGTACCCAGATAGCAAACTGACATTGAATCAACGTGGAAATATGACATCGAAACAACGTTGATCTGACATTGTTTTGCTCATCGAATTAACGTTGAACCAACGTCAGACGCGTCCTTTTTTCAAAACTAACGCAAAATCAACTTGAAATCAACGCATTGTTTCAACGTTATGATAGCAAACCAATTTTCGATTTCATTTAGCTTTGAAGAATGCCGCGTCTGACGTTGGTTCAACGTTAATTCGATGAGCAAATCAACGTTGTTTCAATGTCATGAGAGACGTCGTTTCCACGTTGATTCAATGTCAGTTTGCTGTCTGGGTAATTTGTATGTGACAATGATAATTGAATTATTTCTCATTGTAGTCATTTGTTTGGAGTCACATGCTATTGTCTTTGGGTCAAAATTGAGTTCGGAGTTATCAATAAGGTTTTTTATTCTACTTTCTATTTCTATTACTTTCTGCAGTTATTTCCACACACATCATATTTTTCATCAGAATTCATTTCTATATCTAAAGAGCAACATGAACCGACACAAAATATTTCCAGTTGTGGAATTGTACCCATGAAGTTGGTCAGATTATAAGATCACCACACCAATATGGAAGCTGTGTGTAGTTTGAAGTCTGACCGGTCAATGTCATTGTTTTGTAGTAAGAGAAGAGTAAATAATATCATGCAATCCAGAGAGCCTTTTCATGTTCCTTTGCTTATTGTTTGGTGGACAGGCTCTCTTAGAAGTGGATCATGATGATGGTGCTGCTCAAAATAAAAAAGATGACACTCAAAGTAAGGTTCTTAAGACCTAGTGTACAACTTCAGTTGTGGTAAACAATGGACTCCCAATATTGGTCTAGCAAACACATTGCACCAAGCTACCAGATCAAAAGAACTGGTTGAGCTGTTTCACATGGCTGGTCACTTCATAAGCTACAACAACTTAAAACAGGTTGATACAGCTTTGGAGGAGAGAGCACTTCTTACAATGGACGTGGATACAGGAGCAGTGGTTCCACCAAACTTTGTACCCAACAGATTTGTGCACTTCACATGTGACAATATTGACATCAATGATAGCAGTTTTGATGGTAAAAACAGCTTTCATACAACTCAAGTCGCTGGATGGCAGAGGTCCAGAAGAAGACATGGGACTGAATGATCTCCATCCAGCTACAAAGTCTAGTCTTCAAGTTCCTGAAATCATGGAACAATGTTCTCCAGCTGCAGTTGTGTCAGGAAAAACAGAACCAGGATCAATTATACAAACCAACTAGGAATGGTACAATGAAGAACTCCTTGATAATCTATCAGCATGTGTAGCACTTTCCAAGGACATGGCGTTTTTCATCAAATGGCAAGATGCAGAAATTAAGACAGGTTAGACCAATTTCAATCAGACAATCTGCCCGACCAACTCAGAGGTCACAAGTATTGGCTATATGCCAATTGTACAAGCTCCCGCCAATGAACTTACTCAACACAGTAATACAGAGATGCAGGCACACTGCAACAGCACTCGGTCAACAACACGTGGTCCTTACAGTTGACAAAGCACTTTAAAGTAAGCTTGTGGAACTCAAATTAGGGTCCGCTAAGACGACGTTGCTCTCTCTAAACAGACTTTAAACTGAACCTGTGATAAACGCTGATGGCATTCACATGCGCATTAAAAATTGATTCTATAGTTATGTGCATTTGAATATATGTGCGCAGGTTTGTAATTCCCTACAAATCATGCCTAAACAAACTATTTGTCTTGCCTATAATTTTGATGCAGAATTTTATTTTATCACTTCGGGTAGGTACGCGAACCGAATTTCCCACAATGTTTTATCAGCAGAGTGGAATAGGGATCCTCCATAGGGAGAGGCTAGTTGGCACTTCAGCACTGCGTTGTCATAGGGTCCAGGCAAAGGTCCTTCAAGCAAACAAGCGGTATGTCTTCCTCCGCCAGTGGGGTGAAGACTGGAAGATTCTACGCTGCTGCCCATCTTGATGTCACTCCCTCCAGTCCCAGACTACTGTTTGGAATTGATCAGCTGCAACTGCTCCTCAAGATGTATGAGTGCACGATGTAAATGTAAAAAGTTTCGTCTACATTGCTCTGCTGCATGCAAGTGCAAGAAAAGTGATGCAGAATGTAGCAGTTGCTGAACTGAATAAGAGCACTACTCTGTGTTGTTGTGATCATATTTGAGAATTTTGTCATTCCATTGTTTAAATTCACATTCACTTTTATATGCCATGCAGTTCATGTTTTAGTTAGTATTCAGCTACTGTCCAACTTCATAAGGTAATTTTATGCCAAGTTTCCTGTATTTCCTTTATCTGTTCAAAGCTAATGTTAGTGGTGTGGTGTGACACCTTGATATGTGTTGGTAATTTGGTCATTTGTCTCAATTTGTAATATTTACAACCAATCTTTCTGGTAATATCTTTTCCATAAATAACCCAAAAGAAAATTTAGTTGAGTTTAGGTGAATTTTCAGGCCTTAAACTTGTTTACATGGACATGTAAATATTGAAAAGTAATAAACACTCTTAACATAATGTAATAGGATGATGGTTTAAGATATAGGCCTTTTGCAGCCACCAATGATGTTGATCTTCTTACATGGACATACTCAAATACACAAAATAACAGGTCAGTGTTTACCAGAAATATTGTAAGACAGAATATCTAAATTGTTCTGACTATTCAGTTTGTTTCCTTTACTCAATAAATGCTATATCACAATAAAAACTGTTTATCTTTGAGCTAGTGCTGAGAAATTTGGTCATTTTGGCGTATGAGGTGGTCCTCGTGAATTTTACACTCCACTGAGTTTCACGTAAGAGATAGAGCTTGGCAAACAGCAAAAATGGATTCAGCATAAAAAATACCCCTAGAATAGTCTATTTGCCAACTTTTACTCAAAAATGCCTGAAGATTTTTATTCAGGCACATTTTTGTGATTTCAACCTGGTCTAGGGCGTTTTTACGTGTAACACCGTGTCCTCATCCCCTTGCGTAGACTTTGCACTTTCACCCACATTCTCTAATATGACTTAAAACTATCATAAACAAACGATTTACTTATAGTATTTCCAACTTAAATCCGATTCAAAATCAAATACACAATATCATAGCACAGAAATTATTTCTCTGATGTAGGTTATGTCATTTATGTGATTTTTTTGTAATTCTCTTACCTTGGTAAACTCTTCTGGTAGTGCATGGTCGGGACGACACTTTTGTGTAAATACTCAATCCCAGCTCCATCTTTACTACTGTATTTACGTTGAGTGCTCGTTAGAACTGACAGGACAGGGTTGTTTCTTAGCAGGTGTAATTTACTCCATGCGGAATTATATTGCGTAGAGAGCAGCCCTGCCATCATACAACTTGTAATTTAATTAACTATGAATTGCGTGCTTTTCTTAAATCTCAACTTCAATTCCAAAACTTCTGCAAGCTGGCAACCCACTGAATGAATGCAGGGTGTCTGACAGATACTGTTGGTTTCGGTACAGCCAACAGTAATTAGCTTCCTGTTCTCGCTTAACCTTTCTATTTAGAAAAATATTTCAACAAACTAAAAAATAGAGAAGCCGGCTTGTTAAGATAATTTTCACTAACGGCTTCACAAAAAATAAAACCCGGTTGTAATATTTAATTAATTACTTCCGCCTCACCAACTTTACCCCTTTCAAAATAAAAGTACCAATATAAACAGGATATTTATACAAAAAAAAATTTATATGTAGCGATATGTAGCCTGATAAGTTGTGCATTTAATCAATGATTACATTTTATAATTGGAACTGTCACAAAACAACAGACAACGTAATAGGCCTATATTTCGCCAGAAATAATCTATATCCTTTAAATGTATATTTTAAATATAGCAAATTTGAAACCAATACTAAGTAGCCTAATTATTATATCCCCATATGAATACATGATTTCAACACGCACTCAAGCTATTAAAGCTCCGCCTGTTCGTTCAGATTGGTTCAGCCACAGATGCGCAGAAAGATGATTGGTCGTCGGGCTCCTTTGGGACGCTGTAATCATGAACGACGGACAGCATCAATGGGAATCAGCCATCAACCACATCAGGGGCATTGTCAGCATCATCTGGACCGATTGTGCCGTAAGAAGCGCAACACATTTCTCAATATTTAGATTAGAACCCAGGCGAAAAAGTACATCTTTATTCTAAATGTAATGTAATATAGGAGAATGCATACAAAACTTGACGTTTTAGGGACCCACAGACGTATTCCTTTTGCGGTTCATCGCTGTCTGAGTTGATAGTGGGTGAAGTGCTCATCCTCCTCCGTTCTCGCGCTGTGTAACGAATTGTACATTTTTAACTATTATCATTCATATTTTGAGGATATAACACTTGATGTCGATTTTACAAATAGCTTGCATCTCTTACGGCCGGTCTGGTTGCACTGCGGTGTAAGGGTATTTATCATTTTGCAGAGGTAAGATTATTAGGATATTGCATGGCATAACATTTGGGTTTCATAATAACAAATATATTCAGAATACCAACAAGAAGGATTTCCCCATCCTGAAAATATAGATTTCCATAATGGAATCATAAAAAAATAGCTGTTGCAATCATATGTGCATTGGATTCAGTATTAGCCTGACCCTGAGATTAATTTTACCAACACTGTTCTGACCTTAATTCTGTCTTGATCTTAGCTTTCCTTTAAAGCTTAAAGCATCTGGCATTGCTCATACCAATTACCCTGACATTTTTGATTTTATATTGTTGTTTTAGTCTAGCAATGGGAGCTCTAAGCAGACAGGAGTTCTTCCAGGAACTGGGATTCGGTTGCTTGCTTCCAACTGTCCAGCAAGGTCTAGAACAAGTATGGCAGCTGTTACTCATCTGCCTAGTATGTAGGCTGCTGTGGAGATTGGGTAAGATCATGTATTGTAATCTTAAAGGAATAGTCCCTGTTAATCCAAGCATGTACCTGTATAACTTTCACTCTTCCATGCCACTTGTATATTTAAGGAATTATGGAATTATGTTTTTTTTTAAGCACCAAAATGCTTTGTGCTCTAATGCTATAATACACCATAAAAGTAGGTAATGTACAATGTACCATATCTCAAGTCTTTTGATGCCATATGATAGCTTTTGTATCTTGCTTGACAGCTGCAATCCCATTCACTTTTATTGTGCGATAAAACACTTCTACTATAAATAACTTCTTTTGTGTTCCATGGAAAGAAGAATGTTTTAAAATACATGAATGCAAAAAAAATGATGACAGAATTGTCATTTTAAAAACATGTAATTAAATTATATTATGTTAAAAAAAGATTTTTTTTTAAAGCTGTTTCCTCTCTCTCAGGTCTGCCCCCTGTCTTGAAACACCTGAGTACGGTGGCTGGCGGTTTTTACACTCTCTACCTGTTCTTCGAGCTGCACATGGTTTGGGTGGTGCTTCTCAGCCTCCTCTGCTACCTCATCCTCTTCCTTTGTCGTCATTCAAGCAGCCGCGGACCCTTCCTGTCCATCACTATCCTCATCTACCTTCTTCTGGGGTATGTCCTCCTCACACACTCTTCTGTTTCGTCATATATATATTCCCCAGAGTTGGAGATACATTGGTAAGATATTCTTTCTGTTTCAGAGAGTTGCATATGATGGATACAACAACCTGGCATAAAATGAGAGGTCAGTATTTTTGTTGTTGTTTTGTTTTTCTATCTGACAATAATGACTATTAGACCAGGATGGTAGATATTTACTGTACTGAATTTTGACTAAGTTTAAAATGAAATTGTTGCTGTGGTCATCCAGGTTCCCAGATGGTAGTGGCAATGAAGGCAGTTTCCCTTGCCTTTGACTTGGACAAAGGCATAGTGGAGAAAGTTCCCTCCCCAATGGAGTTCATGGGCTACATTTACTTTGTGGGGACCGTCATCTTTGGGCCTTGGATCAGTTTCAACAGCTACATGGATGCAGTAGAGAGTCGAAAACTTGTGAGTCTCAAATTTTTCTTTCGTTCTAATGCAATTTAGAATTAAAGGTGTATTAGAATTAAATTTAAGATGTATAAGAGATTTCCATCAGCATTGATCTGATCTTTTCCACAGAGTGCCTCCTGGTTTATGAAGTCAGTCCTCAGCTGTGTGAAGAGCCAGATCTGTCTGGTCATTTCCAACTGCATTGCTCCCTATCTCTTTCCCTATTTCATCCCAGTCTTTGGAGACAAGCTTCTCCGCAAGTGAGTATAAATTGAGTTGAGGAATACTGTGTAATACTGTGAAGTGTAAAGAATGGATGGATTCTTCTAATATCAAACGTTAATCATGTTAATGTTAATTTTTGTTTTGCTGTGCGGCTCAGTGAAGGTTTTTTAATGTTTGACTGATCTGTTTTCATATTTTTCCTTAGCAAGAAGCGAAAGATGAGGTATTGTCCCATTTATATTATTAATGAATGCATATACACAATTTGATCATGGGGAATAAAGACAAATTAATATAAGCATAAAACATGCATACATCAGCGAAATTTACTTGAATACGAATGAAAAATAATAATCTAGGCATTCTGGATTGTGTTTAATAATGAATTTCATTTTATATCTCGATGCAGAGGCTCTATTAAAAGGTAAGAAATGCACAAGCCCTTAATGTTAAAACTCAACAGTCTCTGTGGTTTTCTCTCTGATCTGATAACCTTCAGCTTTGTGTTTCTCCTCATCAGGTGGCTACAGGCCTATGAGAACAGCCTGTCCTTCCATTTCAGTAATTACTTTGTAAGTTACCTTGGTGAGACGACAACCACACTGGCAGGTGCTGGGTTCACAGAAGAGAAGGACAATCTTAAGTGGTTTGTATACATTATACAGATTCACATAATACCAATTAGTGTCAGAAATAAAAGAGGGGTCATAGCAAAAATGTCGCTGAAAGTGGCAAACATGCCCCATGAGAAATTCCTTCTTTTTCATGAACATAAATTTAATCTAAATAGGCTTGAAGTTATGTTTACTATGGTTTCAGTGGCTCTCAAGACACTGATGGCAATTACTGTGGCCAATTACAGTGGTCTGATTATTTTTTATGAATTATTTTGTTTTATTATGTTTAAAAAAAGTATAAATGCAAATATTGTCAATCAAATCAAATTATTACTACTACTACTAATAATAATAGTAAAATTATTAATGCATTAAAGCTAGGGAAGACAATTTCAGAGAGGCTAGCAATATATGATGACAAGATATTTTTAATTAATATATCCTATATAAATATTAATATATATTTTTAATAAATGCTATCCATTTGGACTGAATGCAGTCAGTAATTGGCCGAACATTTTTTTAGTCCTGAGACTTCCATAGAAGATATACAGTTTGTTAATATATTTCCACCACTTCTATTTTTCATTGCTATCAGGATGTGATGAGAGTTATAACCAGTATAACAAAAAGTGTTTATGAAAAGCATTGCCTCCCTAGCTTGTTTACCCAAGTTTATTTCTGACACTGTGTCAATTAAAGATTGTAATTGCCATTTACTTTTAATTGATCAATATTTCATGCTCTTCCTTTCTTTCTTTCTCTCAGTTTCTCTTTTTGTCATTCCATTTCTGTCTTTTCAGGGACATGACAATAGCAAAGCCACTTAATGTTGAGTTTCCCAGGTCTATGGTTGAAGTGGTCACTTCCTGGAACCTGCCGATGTCCCGCTGGCTCAACACCTGTAAGTGTTTTTTTTCTTTCCATTTGTTAAAGGTATCCATAATTCAGCTTAATGTGGAATGTACTGTACGTCATTAATACACGCCTTTGTTATTGTAAGAGGTTAGCGACCCCTGGTAGTGAAAAATCCTGCATATTGTAACTTTAATGGCATCTCTAACATTTTTGTATTGGTTCTCTTAAATTAAATATTTTATCTCCCAAAAGACTTGTATAAACATAATGACCAGCTTTTAATTAAAACATTTGTATATGCTATATTTTGAATACCTCCAAGTATTTGGGTAAGCCTCATTTCTCCTCCTTTTTTTTTTTAGATGTGTTTAAGAAGGCTCTCAGATATGGGAGCTTCACAGCCATTATCTTGACATACACTGCGAGCGCTCTGCTACATGTGAGTGTGTTTTGGCCTAATTTTAATTTTTTATTTGAATTTATTGCATTCTTTCTTAATGGTACAATAAATGCAATACTGTATTTCTGTGCATACAGGGTCTAAGTTTCCACATTGTGGCAGTATTATTTACACTAGGCTTCATAACATATATTGAACACGGTGAGTATCTGTTCAGGTATTAATTATAGACATTTATTATTGCTCACGCCACTGTTTTCAGTTGTTGCTATAATTAAAAACATTATAAAATGTTTTAATCAGTTTATAAAATGTTTTAAATGTTCCAATTTAATATTTTCTAATGTTCTAAGTGTTTTTCACAATATTGGTTGTTTTTCTTCATTCTGTGTTTCAGTGCTTAGAAAAAGATTGTCAATCATTTTAAATGCATGTGTCCTCTCCAAGAGATGCCTATCTGACTGCAAACATAGACATAAAAAGGTGTTGTATATCTCATTATGGCTATTTAAGCACTTGTGTGAATATCTTTTAAAAAAGAAAACGTAAAAAGCCACAAAAAAGAGTTATAATGTGAAATAAACATTTTTTAATGAGTTTATGTCTTTAAAAATGTAAGTTTTTTATTTTTCTTATTTTTTTTCTATAGGAATTGTGGGTATATTTAATTAATGGGACATTTAGCATGTTAGCAGTGCTGCATTTTACATACCTGGGCTCTATTTTTGGCTCCAGTACAGATGACATGGATTCTGATGAGGTACAAGCCACTTCTCATGAAATATGGTCCTTACTTTCCATGCAGGTTATTATTCATATTTGTTAAAAATATGTTTCTATTGTCCGCAGAATGGCATGGTCAGCCACACCATTCAGAAATGGATGCAGCTCAGCTGGACAAGCCACTGGTTGACTTTTGGCCTTTGGGTCTTGTATCGCCTTATTCTATAAACACTTAGACCTTCATAGATGAAGAGGATAGCAATAACTGTGATTGGATATTTTATACAAGTTCACAGGAGTTGTGGCCGTTAATGACATCACTGTGAACTCTGGATGAACATGACTGCAGACCTGAGTCCTCAAATCTGCTGTATACGTTCATAATATATATATAACATGACCAGACCTCTACAAGTACCAAGATGTTCTGAAGTTTTCTAAGCTAACACAGCAATCCACAATAAGTGAATATTGAATTATTCATAGCCATTATTAATGAACTGATCAAGATTTTGATATGACTGACTAATAAATCTTATAGTTGTAATAGGTTTTGCTTGATGGTTTAGGATAATTACTTGTTTGTGTAAAAAGAACATATATATTCTCATTGATTTTTTCAGAAGCTCTAATGTCAAACTGCTCAAATCAAGTTTTGTATTGTATGCATCTATTCACCTGACTGATTATTATTATCATTATTTTTTTTGCCATTCCCATATGGAAAATCAACTAATGCTAATGCTTTTCCACTAAAGCACATATTCTGCGATTCACAATCAGATTGTCCATTACGGTTTTCATGTACAACAAACATGCCAAATGACTTCATCCTCATTGAGCTCTGAATGATAAAGTTCACATCCTCTTGTCTGAATTAGTTAGTTACTGGGTGCATTTGAAACCCTTTGATACACTTGAATACTGAGACATTATTAGTGTTTGATAGTTTCTTATATTTAACCCTTTTTAAAATGTAAATTGTTTATGGCAACAAGTGTGTTTTTGTTTTCTGTGTATTTATTTTAATGTGTATTATTAATATTGCTATTTGGTAGTGGATAGAGTAATTGACACCATCATAACATTGAATACGATTGTTTTTTATATGTCATTTTAGTGCCAAACAGAACAACAATTACTAGCTGAATAATTCTGGTAGGTTCTCATTTTTTATTTTATTTATTGTGTTCAGACATTCATCACACAACACATTTTACATTAACTACCCTGTTGTAAATCAATCCCTATACATTTATTAGTGATTAATAAATAAAGAGTTCAAATTACATGGATGATTTTTACTGTCTCATGTATGTTTGACTGCCAAGTCACTCTTGTTTTATCACTACCCTAAATCATACTAAGTGCTGTTTTTTGAAAATGTATAAATGCTTCTGAAAAGAACAACAAACACAAAGTGTGGCAATGATAATCTCAGGTAGCCTACTGTTTATGTGCTTTATTTAATGTTAAAAGCATGGTTTGAATATCATTTAGTGCTCCCAGCTTTGTAGCTGTAAAAGCAACAATGGACATGGAAACAAGAACGTTCAAACTTGAACAAACAAGTATATTCTTTGACAAAGACTGTTTTAGTAACTCAGTAGCCTATATATTTTGGTGTAATATTTGTGAATTTGATCATGAAGCCGTGCACTTGCCGCGAGACTCCGCCCACACGCTGTTCTGATTGGCCCATCTCGCATATCGCGTCGCGTCTAGTGTGAGCAGACAAATTGTTTGTCGCTGGAATCTTAATCGCATTGCTGGCTAGGACACGGTGTAAGGGGATATAATATATATTGTTTATGTTTATACAATATAAAACCAATTACGTCTATGGAGGTCCTTACAAGTAGCCTCATGTGTGTGTGCGTGCGTGAGCGTGTTTTACAGTAGGGGGCAGCAGCGCTCAAGCATTTGGACAGCGCAACCTTGCGACAGAAACAGAGGTAAAGCGCACTACAAATGGGACAATATGGCGATGTCCTCGGGCATGGTACTCTTTTGCCGTTTGTCTGCATCTTTGGGGACTGCTCTCCGTCACGGCCGTGGGAAAACCCTCACAGCTCGGAGATGGTATATTACTCCCAGTGCAGGCAACAGTGAGTAAATGGATTGCTTTCCACATACCTCACTGTGGAGTCCAGTCAAACCCTAGGTCATACTGGTCATACTAATTACACGTGAAACATTTCCTTTTTTATTTATTTTTTTTTAAATTTTATTAATTATCAACAGTGGAATGCATTACACAATATAGATATCAGTTCTGTTGCATAAACTGTAAAAGAAAAAAGAAAAAAAAAACGTAGGCAATAGTCACGTGTCTCAGTGGAGATTCCAGTAGATTGGCACGAGCTAATTATTAATGTTATAGTAATGCGATATTTACGCGGGTCATTGTGTGCAAATGTCCGATATTATGTCCTTGTTACTTCAATGTGATGCGGCCACGTCCATCATTATCACCGTGATCTCGATAATCTGGCAGCGAGAACATTCTGGTCTTTCACATCAGAAGGCTACTTGAAAAAGTCACCGTTTTTCTTTTATCCTTTATCCTTTCCCAGTTATGCAGTTACCACGATACCTGAAATATAACATGTAATTGCTACTACTAGCTAATTTTGGCTGGGATTATTAATTAATGTGTGTTATCTACTTCATACAACTTTCAGAATATTTTCCATTCAATTCACATTTATTTGTATAGAGCTTTTCACCACACGCATCATTTCAAAACAACTTTACAGAAAATGCATGAGTCCTCATTACAGAATGTAACTGTTATCTGTTAATTTATATGTAAATATGTTATTTGTTGCCACTGTTAATGGCAACCCTTACAAAAATTACTATGATAGCTTAGAGGCGTAAACAAAAATCAAAAACAGTGCACCAGTCTAAAATGGTTTGCTGATCATAGATAGTTTCTTCCAGTCTGATTATCTGAACATTGGACCACTGAGAGACCAGACCAGTTATTTTTTGTTGTTGTTGTAGTACATATTTTTAGCAGTTATTTTATGCTAAATAATTATCATTTAACAAGGTAATTTACAAGGCACTCCACTGTACTCCAAGAATACCATGGAATTACAGTGGTATCAGTATAAAAACTCAATTTAAACCGTATTTTATTATTGCACAAAACACTGGCTAACTCGCATTATGATATTAGTCTGTATACACTGTATGTGTACATATATAATTTTAAAATATATATTAAAGATTATTTATGTCTCTATAGATTTGCAATTTAAGCTTGATGAGCGGACAGCCCACAGCAGCCTGGACCTTTTTAAAAAGGACACAGGTGTGATCTATCGAATGGTAGGTATAGACCCCTCCCTCGTGCAGGATACCCCTCTCCGGTTCCGGGACTGGGCTGTGGTTCTCGCCGACACCCACATTGATTCTGGACAGCACTACTGGGAGATCACGGTTAAAAGGTCCCACGAATTCCGTGTGGGAGTGGCCGAAGTATTGACGTCACGTGACGAATGTGTGGGCACGAATTCTAGTTCCTGGGTGTTCGCATTTGTCCAGAGAAAGTGGTTTGCCATGACCAGCGGTAAGCAGGTCCCAGTGCCATTGGTGGGGAAACCTGATCGGATCGGGCTCTTGCTAGACTATCAGGCGGGACGGTTCAGTCTGGTGGACACCCAGAAATCCAAAGTGGTGTATACGATAAAAACACAGTTCCGCTCGCCCATCTGTCCTGCCTTTGCACTCTGGGATGGGGAGTTACTCTCACACTCTGGACTGGAGATTCCACCAGGGCTTCAGTGACTCTTCATTATTCACACATTGATGTTACATGCCTCTTAATAGATAGAGAAGAGGAAGTAGGGGCCTTATGAATAGACATTCAGTGGGAACACGGCTGTTTTTTTACTGCCATTAAAGATTTGTCCGTTCAGCTGGTGACAATATCCCCAAACTCTACTGTTTTGTGATATAATGCTAATGAATTTATGAATCTGCTGTACATAAACATGAACACTCGATATCCTAATTTTGTGTCTGTGCTTTAGTACAGTGTTGTACGTTTTTTCAATAAAGACACCCTTCACTTGTGTTATTTTACACTTTATTGTGTCATGTTATCTGATTCTGTCCATGTCACAGTTTTCACTTTAATTCGAAAAAAAAAAAAAAAACTCTTCTATAACTATCTGAACTTATGTATTCAGCAATAAAGTTTGTCTATGTACCACGTTTTAAATACCATTTCTTTCTTGTGTGCAAAGTCCACAGGGGATGCAGTTAAAGCTTTTGTGCACTACAATAAAACAACATTAAATACCTTAAGTTACAAAAATGTCTATTAACAAACATACACAATTCCAACATCTTAAGGATAATACAAATATACAAATACCTGCTCAAAATGTTTAGCCAAAAATTAATAACTTAAAATGACAAAGAAACTAGGCTACAGTTCACATTATGAAGGGTGCTGGCTAACCTCCTGTAACCTCCAGCTAACATTCCAGTATGGTTATTTTATAAATAAACTACTTTTTAATGTGCATTTTTGTCTTAATAGACAGCCTGCTAAATTTACACTAACCTTGTACTTAGTAACAGGGCCAGAGACACAAAAATCTTCTTAAGAAGTTAAAATAAGATGAATTTGAAGTTCAGAAGCATTTTTTGAAAAGTTCAAGCTAGTGTTTTGTTTAAATGCAAGATATTTGAAACAACTCAAATTAAACCTTGTATCTTCAGGGTTTTAAGTTGGAGCTTATCCTAACTAAGAAGTTATGAGTATTTTCAAGAATATGAATTCAGTTTTGTCTTAAGAATGCTATTACCTTTTTTTAATTGTTCTAAGTATTTTTGGAATACAAAATATTTATAACTTTTAAAGTCAGAAACCTGGAGGAAAATAGTTAGAGAATTTTAATCCTAAGAATGTTTTGTGAATCGGGCCCCTGGCCTAGTTCCAAAGGCTTCCTTTGAGTTAAAGTCGGCATGAAATCAAAATTGACAAATCTTCTTTTTATATCTAATATTGTAGTGTTTATTATAAATAATTTATCTGTGCACTTCATTATTTTTTAAAAATTCATTTACCCTTATAATCTTTAATCAAATACATAACCCTGCCCTCCCCCATCGAAACGACCTCTCTTCTATTTCGAAAGGGTGCGGCCAGAGCGGATGAGGGTGCGGCTATCGGTGCACCGGCTCTCAGAGAATCGCATTCAAATCTGCCTCCATTTTGTTTGCAATGCCCAACCTATAACGATCCAATCAAATCCCGAAGGACGAAATAAAGCCCTGCCCTACATTTTATTCTAATTTCAGAAGCCGTTTCACTCGGATATCCGTCACGACAAGGAAAAAAATGACAATCTCAACTTCCGTTTCACGCCGACTTTAAGGCTTTTACATAAAAATGATTCTGCAAGGATAAACTAGGAAGCCTCAGCATTTCTAAATTGGTCCAAGAATAAACCAAACTGTCTTTGAGGAGCCGTATCAGAAATTACCAGGAAGTACCTGGTAGTTTCATAATCCCACAGTAGACTGAATGGAGCTCTGAGAAACTACAGTAATGACTATCTTAAACCATCAGTAGAAGCTAGTCGAGGTCTACATACAGCGAAGCTTTGGTTTGAAGCACTATCTCTGTAACATCTACCTACACCTGCTCTGCGGTTTGGCATTTCCCATGGTAGTTCTCACTCAAACTAAACCATTCAGCGTCTCCATGCTCTTCAGTTCCTCTGCGTCAATGGTGGAATCGGGAAACGTGTCAGCGCTGAGATCCTCAGGCATTAGTGTGTGTGTGTATATTTTCTGGTACTCCTGTAGTACCTTGACCACTGCATCGTGCCCAAACTGCATAGCGTCATCGAGAGGTGTGTTTCCCCATCTGAAGAACAGATTAGCATGCATTTTAAATCAATGAAACAAAACAGACCTAAAAAAGTGCAGATTTGGTCTTGTCTTGGGCAAGTTTCATGTCATTGTCAAGTTTCTGTGTCTTTTCAGATTTGGATCCCTTACAGGAGGTGAGTTTGCCTTACCTATCCTTTGCATTGGGGTTGACTTTGCAGGTATCTGTTAAAAACTTGACCGCATCTAAATGCCCTGAAATCAGAGTTTTAGGAACCTATATTAATAAATGCATTATTAATGTTTTCTCATTTACACCGAATTCAGATTTCACAATTCAAACTTTAGGACTCACTGATTTGGACGGTAAAAAAATAAATCGAAAAGCTGAAGTTGATTTTATTTAATAACTTGGTGCTCATTTCTTATTATTATCAATGTTGAAAACAGTTGTGCTGCTTTATATTTTCGCGATTCATATTTTTCAGAATTCATTGATGAATAAGAACAGCAGTTTTTAAAGTCACTTGTGATCAATTTAATGCATCCTTGCTGACAAAGTATATTTGTCAAAAATTCTTACTGACCCTAAACTTTTTAATGGTAGTGGAGATACATAAAACACATTTTTCAGCCTGTTACCTTCTGCTGAGGACACGTGTAGGGCGGTACGGTTGTCGTAGTCAGTCAATTCCATATTGACAGCAGAGAGAGCAATTCTGAAACAAATTATATCATTGTTCTTCATAAATCATGACCATTCACATAAAAATGTTGGGATATTTTTAAAAAGAAAGAGATTTTTACCTCCTGAGAGCTGAAACATCACCACTGTAAGCAGCAAACATCAGATCCACCACAGACTTGTTCTGAAATTGATTAAATATAATCAGTGCTTACAACTATTAACTATTTGTTTTGATAGCACAGTGTGAATGAAATGGCAAATTTGGTCTGTGGTCTCACCCTCTCGTGGCCTGTCTGTCTGCGAGGGTCTAACTTCTTCGCAAAGTGTCTCAGATTGTCATAATTATGGAAGTTAAACAGTGAGACTAGCTCCTAAAAGAGAAACAAGTTAATGGTCTCAGAGAAAAATAAATATATAGAAAGAAAGACAAAAGCAGAGATCATGAAAATGTACCTGGCAGAAGTGGATGCCTCGGATGCTATTGCCGACACGGTCAAGAGGCGGAGACCAGCACATTACCCCCATAATATTAGGAACTACGAGCAGCACAGCACCAGACACCCCAGATTTAGCAGGCAAACCCACCTGAGGAAGAGACACACACAGGGCCGGTTTACCCATTTACACGTCACTGTTTTTCAATGTAAACACACATTGTGCATGGGTCTCACATCTTTTGCAGCATGGTCCTATCTAATAACAGTGATTTTATTTGAGTAATAGCTGAGGTTTAAAGTAAATAACTGAAATAGTTTCATCTAGCTGTAAAGTCCATTATGTCTGTGTACTTTATCACACTGAGGAATTCTGCAAGCAATCATTTGGCTGTGAGTGTGTGACTCACATGAAAGGCAAACTGGCCAGAAAAGTCGTACATGCCGCACGAGTGCATGAGACTGAGAGTGTTTCGGACGGCCTCGGCACTGAGCACACGCTCGCCTGTGATTGGACAGATCCCTCCATTAGCTAATGTGGCTGCCATGACGCTGCCAGACTCACATGTCACCTCAATAGAGCACAGCTGGAAATGAAAGAAAGCCATAAAAACATAAAAGAGAAATATTTTGTGTTTACTATGAGCAATAATAGCAAGTTCTACTTTTAAACACAATTGGTATGTGTTAGAATGACAAGTTATTTACCTGAAAGTAGAAGTCAAGGGCTGCCATCATGTCAACTCCACTGGGAAAACACTACAGGAAAAAGAGCAGAGAAGCAGGTGAGAAAGGCAGACAAATCCCATCATTAGGCTTATAAAAAAGACAATAACCAAAGAAAACGCTCACTTTTTTTTCTTTGAGATAATAGCCAATTGCATAGTTCCTGTAACCTGTCTCTTTCTCTGACTGAAAACTATAAAAAAGCAAGAACATTTTATCATTCACCAATAAACCAGTACAAATGATAGAACAACTGTAGGTTCACCTCTGTTAGAGAGTGATTTGATACTAATAAAAGAGTCGTATTAAAAACTCACGTGGCATTACTGAACCCAACATATTCTCTGCCAGACATTTTCTTCAGATAATCCATCATCTGACCGTCAAACAGAAATCAATTTTTATTTTAAGTGAGATCAAATAAAAAAAACCTGGGATATTTCAGATGGTGGAGATGTTGCAGTGTACTCACAAAGTCAAACTTCTCTGCCTTGTTGGAACCAGGCTGTAATATAGACAAAATATATAGAAAGTAAATTAATAAAATAAGTAAGATCATGGTAGGAAAAGAAAAGGCTACTGTCAACTGTCTGGTTACCAACATTCTTTAAAATACATTATTTTGTGTTCAACAGAAGAAAGAAACGTATAAATGTTTGGAACAACTTGAGCGTGAGTAAGTTTTAATTTTGATTTAATACTGATTTAAAGTGTCCTTAAATGTGTTAATAAACAGTCATTAATCAGCACTCTCACACTTCAGTGGTCTTTTATTTCATTAATATTATTATACCTGCAAATGCAGTTTTTTTAAAAGTATGCTTTTAAGATTTGAAGGATACTACAAGTGCACATTCAATAGAATTAAGCACACTTTTTTTCACAAGTGTAGTAAAGCCAATAATACTCATACTAAAAGCGGTATTAGAAGGCTAACCTGGAAGGCTAATTCGCACAAAAGGCAAATTCACTAATTTTATTTATGAATAATATTACTCGACAGGACTTTCAAATATTGTTCAACAATATAAATTACATAGTTATACCTTGAATGTGAATTTTTAAACCATTGTGTGATTTAAAACGCTGCTAACAAGTTGCCTCTAAAGGACTACACAAGTTTTGTGATTCATCAAGCCAATAAACGTACATCTTTGTGATATGTTTAGTCTACAGTATATATAATGGCTTTTTTTTACTCATAAATACATTTCAAAAAGCCATTCGAAATTTCTGAGGGCTAACCCATGGCTAATGCTAATTATCTTCAAGACACAATACACAGACAGTCAGAAATATCCAAAAGGAAAGAGTCAGATGTGGCACAACATTCAACATTCACAATATCCACTAATTCTTTATATTTAGTCAAATGGGCTAAAAATCAATTGTATAAATAACATTAGTTTCTGTGTCACCAGCAAAAGAAATAGCTAACAGTGGTTCCAGGGACAGTTTGTTTTGGAATTGATCCAAAGATCCCTCTGCAAACAGTAATACAGTGCTGTATTTAGACACTTGGTGGCAGTGTGCACAGATGTGCAGCAAAGAAAATGTGGTATGATATGAGATCATAATGGTCTCATCCTTGAAAAATCCATAAACAGCATATATATGCAAGTATATCTTAGAATACATCTTATTTATTTTTTTTGTGTGTGCAAATTTAGTCATGATCTGTCATGTTTTCCATTGCACAGGGGCAGTGAACATAAAATGATATGACAGAACATAAAGCCCAATGACTGAATATGAGCCAGTCCCTAACAGGAAGTGGTACCCATATTTAGTTTCATTAAGGTGACCAGTTCTACGAGGGAGTCCAAAAGGTCAGTGTAATGCGATCACAGCTGTTAGATGTCTACATCTTAAAAAATACTCCTGCGTGTCTGTGCTCCAAGAGATTGTGCAACATATTTAAGAGCATAGGTCAAATTAGAAACTTATACTACAAGTAAGGAGTCCCTTAATTATACATCCAGTTAGGTTTTTTTTTAGATCAGTTAAACCACTGAAACCTTTAACTCTTTCATAGCAGCCCTTTTAAACACACCGAAAGGCGTATTTTTCAGCACATTATCTGATTGGCTGTTTAGACACACCTCCTGACCACTAGCAGCCCTTATTATGTGATTCCTCATCGGACCACCCACTACCACCATACACACAAACACACACCTTGTCAGCTGTTTAAAATCAGGTCAAAAGGAAAGGACAGAAACATAATTTTGTCCCAATAAAAGCACTTTGCCTGTCACAGTAATAATTTCCGATATCAATAACACGCACCACAGCAATGCTGCTTAATTTAAAGTAACTCTTCAAGTTTAGGGTTAAAGGGCGTCCCTGTAAAGGCTGTGACAAAAAAGTAAAATAAACGAACAAATTAATGTGTTATGGTTGTAGGAATTTCATTTTAAGTTTGTACTTGTGGTATTTTTATGATGAATATATATCAACAGTGCATTAAAAAATGTACAAAAATAGCCTCTTACCTTTATGAGAGAGCTGATTACAATGGCTCCTGCATTCACCATGGGATTATGAGGTTTATCTGGGAAAAAGAAAAAGTTTACAAATGATCAAATTTTAATGTCAAAGGAGCATCATGTTGACTGGGAAGGATTCAGTAAAGCTCCAGTAAAGATTGCAGATGCGATGTTCCTCAGAGGTGAGGAAATCCATTGATAAGGTTTATACTGAAAGAACGTCTGATAACTGTTTTAACTGTTCCTCTTGTTCCCAGACTTCATGATGCAATAGAACACAATCAGCCTGTGAAATCACTAATTCAGAGTCATGCCATTGATTTTGAACCTCTGGAGTTTCATCCAGAGAAAATAAAAGAAAATACAAATATACTGACACTGTTTCACTTTAAATGTCCAAATACTATATGAGATCTCACTTTATGCGTCCATATCTTTGAGTGAAACCAACAAAAAGAGTAATAAGACAGATTGTGATGGTTTCTCACCCTCTTCATCTAAAAAGAGTTTGTTGAACTTGAGGCCACTGGGTTCTTTCCCCACATATTTGTGCACATGCTCAGTGCCAGCCTCATGCACGGCCAGCGCATACTCCAGAGGCTTCACACATGACTGCAGACAAAATGGCACATTCGTGTCCCCTACAGCATGCCTGTGTAAAGAGGAAGAGATCAAATGAAAGATACAGTGAGAGAGGGAAAAGAAAAAAAACAGAATTGCTATTATTCAAGATCCAGAATTAACCAGAAAGCATGTGATGTGAGTGAAATTTGGATTTGCCAGGTGGCCAAGCAGTTTATTATGAGATTAATAAAGTTCTTGGTCATCGTAACACATTAAAGGAGTAGTTCACTTTTATAAAAACTTTTGTTGATAATTTTTTTGTCATTCTTTCTTCAGTCGAAAAGAAATTAAGGTTTTTGATGAAAACATTCCAGGATTTTTCTCCATAAAATGCACTTTACTGGTAACCAAACTTTTCAAGGTCCAAAAGACAGTTTCAGTGCAAACTGCAAACTGTTCAAAGGGCTTTAAAGATTCCAGACAACGAATAAGGGTCTTATCAAGCGAAACGATCGCTCATTTAAATATAACAACAAAGTTGAAGTTTTATAAGCTCAAATGCTCGCCTTGCTCTGTTCTGTGTCTCTTCTGTTCGAACTCGTTCATCAAAATGAACAAATCTTTTTCCGAGTCATTTGGCTCATTCAATAAACGAAATGAACGAATTGACTTGGAAAAAGATTTGTTCATTTTGATGAACGTGTTCGAACAGGAGAGAGACACAGAACAGAGCAAGGCGAGCATTTGAGCTTATAAAACTTCAACTTTGTTATCTTAGATTTATCTTAAACCTTTATCTTCAACTTTGAAACTTAAACGATTGTTTCGCTTGATAAGACCCTTACTCCTCATCTGGAATCGTTTAAAGCCCTTTGAACAGTCTTTTGGACCTTGAACAGTTTGGTTACCAGTAAAGTGTTTTATATGGAGAAAAATCCTGGAATGTTTTCATCAAAAACCTTAATTTCTTTTCGACTGAAGAAAGAATGACATGGATATCTTGGATGACATTGGGGTGAGTAAACTATCAACAAAAGTTTTTTTTAATGTGAACTACTCCTTTAAATCGAATCGAATCGAGAATGATAATATGATGAGTTTGAGAAGTGATGTCAATGATTCAAAGATCAAAATTGTTGACAAAATAAGTCAAAATTGTATTGTTTTTAAGACAGAAACAAAACATTTAAATAATTGCATAATGTTTTACAAATATTTATAATAAGAAAATTATTGTACACTTGTTTTGAAATACAATACCATTCAAAAGGTAATGGTTGATTTTGAAAGAACGTTTTTGAAAGTAAAAAAATACAAAAAATACACATTTAAAAAACAGTAAAAACAGTAACATCGTTAAATAGTAAAGTTAAAGTAACGGCTCTATTTAAAAATGTAATTTATTACCCCAGCAGCCATTACTCCAGTCCTTCAGAAATCCTTCTGATATGCAGATTTGGTGCTTTCTTATTATCAATACTGACATATTATTACATATAAATATTATTTTAATTTAGTTAATTTTATTTTAGGACTGAATATAATATGAAGGAATATAAAAGTCAAAGGAAAAGTGACTTTTGATCAATTTAATGCATTCTTGCTGAATAAAAGCATTAAAAAAAAAATCCTCCCCACCCTCTTAGCCCATCAAACTTTGAATGTAGAGCATTTCTGGTCAGAAAAAATGGTCAATTGTACATTGTTTGAACAGACGCTGCAAAAAGTTACTTTCATCAAACAGATATGACTAAAGAAAGTTTAAAAACAGTATATTTTACCTCTGACCATCCACTGTGCACAGAGAAACTCCCCAGAGGTGTGGACTGAACTTAGCCAACTGAGGGATGTAGTTTGCTACCTGAGAAAACACGCACATGGACAAATATAGCGATTAGAAGTAAATAAATGTGTTTTTAAAAGACAAGGTGATTAGAAACAGCGATAAAGAAAATCAATGTCTTACTTTCCCTCCTTGCTGAGCCTGTACGTTATAATACAAATGGTTTATGAGGGAAGTAAAGGCCTCAAAGTCTGGAATGATGAACTTCCTTTGGAAGGCTTGAGTCAGGAGGACTATGTTACTGCCAACACATCTAGAAACAGAAACACACATGCCAATGTCACACAACTGTGATGTAATGGCCACCTGTTATCAGTAATGTGCTAAGAGAGTTGTACATGACTGTAAATGATATTTGATCCATATTTATTAACACTGACGGAATCGGTTCAAAAGAAACATAAGCTGTGCCTCAGAGGACTAACAAACACGTTATCACTGCTTAACATAGCTTAGCTCCACACACGCTCCAGCAGGACGCATATATACACACACAATACATACAAATGCAACAGGTGGAGTGTTGTATTTATCTCTGTTGGGGAGCAGAAAGTCAGGTGAGGTGAGGCATTTGTATGTGAAGATATGTGTTCATGTGGGCATGATGAATCGACTGCTTATATTACCAGCCTTCCAAGAACATATCATTTACCCGTAAGGGCCATGAGTCACAACAGCTGTAGGCGGTAGACTGTAAGTGATGATAAATCCCTAAAAACACATATGAACACATATTCTCTCACTCTTTGCACTGCTCCTACTCACTTTCTGAACAGTTCCTGGTCCATCATTGTCATTCCAACAGAATCTTGGACAGCTTGATGGATCTGTCGCATGCAGTCTCTCAAACGGGGGTCAGAGGTCATCAAGCCTGTGCTTCTGAGTGCCTAAGAAATACAAGAAAATGTATTTTAATACTGGAATAATTAATTGTCAAAACAAAGTTGAGTGAAAAATTATTGCTTGAAAATTTTAGCACAAATTTATGTGATAACCTACAGTACCAGTTCAGGAGCATAAACTAAGTTATATAGAGACATTTAATGTCAACTTGAAACAGTGTTCACAACTCACTTGATTTACACCACTGTTATTTAGCAGGTTCTGTATGAAATTAAACTGACAACAAAAGTGACAGAAAAGACATGTATAATGTTACAAAGATTTTAATTAAAATAAATTCTGTTCACCGAAGAATCAAAGAAAATATATCAGGTTTTCAAGAAAAAACTTGAGCAGCAAATCAGCATATTAGAATGCATATTACTGCAGTAATGGCTGTGGAAAATTCAGCTTCACCCTCAAAGGAATAAACTAAATTTGAATGAATATTAAAATAAAAACAGTTATTTTATATAGTAATAATATTTGGGTAGGGATGCATCATGGGATGACCTTCAAAAACAAACAAAAAAATTATGGCAGCACTTTATTTTACAGTCAAGTCAAGTCACCTTCATTTATTTAGTGCTTTTAACAATATAGACTGTTTCAAAGCAGCTTTACAGTGATAATAGGATATTAAAGTAACATGGATTGTTTTGGCTTTACAGCAGCTCTAGAATAAAGTTATTGTCCAGCTAAAGTTAGTTTTGATTGATTCACTTCCATTGTAAAGATAGTAATCCACCGTTCCAATAGTAATAACTTGGCACTAACCTGAACCTACCCCTAAACCTAACCTTAGCCTATGTAGTTCCCTTATATTACCCAGTACTTTCTTAAGTAAAATTTAAGTACATGTAAGTGCACGTACTGTAAAATAAAGTGCAACCAAAATTCTTATCAAGCCTAAACTTTTGATCGGTAGTGCAAGTGAAACAGGAAACTATGAGAAGAAAGTGGGGGTGATTTGATCCATTAGGAATGTAATGGATCATAAAAAGTGGTCTCTGGGCTATATAACAGGTGTCAGAAAAAGAAAGTCTTTCAAAGCCGTAACATAATAATACGAAGGCAAGTTTTTTGGAACATGTATGAAGTGTTTACAATAAGCACAGGAACATACATTAAGACAATAAATAGATGCAAATACTACAACCCGAATTCCAGAAAAGTTGGGACGTTTTTTAAATTTGAATAAAATTAAAACTATACGACTTTCAAATCACATGAGCCAATATTTTATTCACAATAGAACATAGATAACATAACAAATGTTTAAACGGAGAAATTGTACACTTTTATCCACTAAATGAGCTCATTTCAAATTTGATGCCTGCTACATGTCTCAAAATAGTTGGGACGGGGACACGTTTACCATGGTGCAACATCTCCTCTTCTTTTCAAAACAGTATGAAGACGTCTGGGCATCGAGTTTATGAGTGTCTGGAGTTTTGGTGTTGGAATTTGGTCCCATTCTTGCCTTATATAGGTTTCCAGCTGCTGAAGTGTTCGTGGTCGCCTTTGACGCATTTTTCGTTTAATGATGCGCCAAATGTTCTCTATAGGTGAAAGATCTGGACTGCAGGCAAGGCCAATTCAGAACCCGGACTCTTCTACGACGAAGCCATGCTGTTGTAATATCTGCAGTATGTGGTTTTGCATTGTCCTGCTGAAATACACAAGGCCTTCCCTGAAATAGACGTTGTCTGGAGGGGAGCATATGTTGCTCTAAAACCTTTATATAGCTTTCAGCATTCATAGTGCCTCCCAAAACATGCAAGCTGCCCATACCGTATGCACTTATGCACCCCCATACCATCAGAGATGCTGGCTTTTGAACTGAACGCTGATAACACGATGGAAGGTCTCCCTCTTCTTTTGTCCGGAGGACACGGCGTCCGTGATTTCCAACAAAAATGTCAAATTTGGACTCGTTTGACCATAGAATACTTTTCCACTTTGAAATAGTCCATTTTAAATGAGCCTTGGCCCACAGGACACGACGGCGCTTCTGGACCATGTTCACATATGGCTTCCTTTTTGCATGATAGAGCTTTAGTTGGCATCTGGAGATGGCACGGCGGATTGTGTTTACCGACAGTGGTTTCTGGAAGTATTCCTGGGCCTATTTAGTAATATCATTCACACAATCATGCCGATGAGTGATGCAGTGTAGTCTGAGGGCCCGAAGACCACGGGCATCCAATAAAGGTCTTCGCCTTTGTCCCTTACGCACAGAGATTTCTCCAGTTTCTCTGAATCTTTTGATGATGTTGTGCACTGTAGATGATGAGATTTGCAAAGCCTTTGCAATTTGATGTTGAGGAACACTGTTTTTAAAGTGTTCCACAATCTTTTTACGCACTCTTTCACAGATTGGAGAGCCTCTGCCCATCTTTACTTCTGAGAGACTCTACCTCTCTAAGACATCCCTTTAATCATGTTACAGACCTGATATCAACTTAATTAGTTGCTATAGATGTTCTCCCACCTGAATCCTTTCTAAATTTCTTGCTTTTTCAACCATTTGTTGTCCCCGTCCCAACTATTTTGAGACCTGTAGCAGGCATCAAATTTGAAATGAGCTCATTTAGTGGACTAAAGTGTAAAATTTCTCCATTTAAACATTTGTTATATTATATATGTTCTATTGTGAATAAAATATTTGCTCATGTGATTTGAAATTCGTATAGTTTTCATTTTATTCAAATTTAAAAAACGTCCCAACTTTTCTGGAATTCGGGTTGTATAATATAAAGGTCCTATGGTACTGTGCAACAGTGTTTACAAGTCAAAAATGAAAGAGTTCACCATCAGTCATTTGGTAGGAACATTTGATCTGCAGGCAATAGTATATAGGATCTGAGTTGTTAGATTGCAGCCGGTGGAGATGACCATCATATATAGACAAAACAACCCCATGCATATAAATTATAGCAGACACTTTAATAGCTATCTATTTCTGGGTGGCATGTGCACTGAAGCACAAACACACACGCTCACAAGAAGGTGCAGCACTGTGCCTGGAAATTGAATGTGTTACCTTGGTTAAAACAGTCCATAATTTTATGTATTCCTCCCTGTAGTATAAACTCAAACATCCAAATATGGATCCACATTTGCTTGGGAATAGAGAGGCTTTAATGTAGCCCAGACACCTGGCACAAACATGACGTCTAAATATAGTACTATTATGTAATACTAAAGTTTTATGATTACAATCTATGTACGAATAAAATTGTCTTATTTGAATCATGCAAAACAAAATAGAGAGCATGAGTGTACATAATGTTTATAGCATGCATTTTATTCCATTTGGTTTGACAGATTGCCACAGCAGTATGCTGACTAAGTCACACACACACGCATAATGTCATCAACACTGTGACTCTAGAGCAACTCACTGTCAGGAAACGTGCCACTGAGAGTTTCTCTTTTCCCTGGGTGATTGTGTAGAACAACAAGTCCTCCAACCCAGCAACCCCCTTCTTACTGCTCAAAACATAAGCCAAATTAGAAAACATATTTTGCCAAAATACAATGCATAATACAATTTTTTCATAAAGATAAACACCAATTCTAAAACGCACGTTATGTTTTCTACGCCTCTCCGAGGATTTACCTGTACGTGGCGGGGTCCATCTCTGCGATCACGTGCTGATGGCGCGGATGCTGGCCCGGTGATGCGCTCACGTGCAACAGCCGAGCAGGTGAGTGTCTTCTTTCCAAACTTCCCGCAACTCTCTTCCATTTTCCACCATTCCTTATGAGCAAAACACCAGCTCCAGACGCCAGTAGGGTTTTAACACCATGCATAATCTATCCAGAAATGCTTTACCTCAAAACCAACGACCTATAACAGCTGTAAAATAGTCTGAATAAACAACGCGTGTCTCGTATGCTTTTGTATCCTGTGCTTTCTATTGGATTCCAAGTGCCTGATCGTCCCACGAGGCAAGGTAGTGACTTCTGTTGACAAATTTGGCCGGTAACCGAGGGATCATACGCAGGTGAGGAGGACACGCCTCCTGGCGGCTGTGGCGGTGGGGCAAAAGAAAGAGATAGATCATTGGTGGATGCTAGAACACATGTAGATGACTCAATAGCAGAACTGTACTAAGAAGAGCAAACTTACTTAGCATGGACATTTTTTCACTTAATCAGAAGGCACAAAGTCATGAAATAAATAAATATTAAATAGAAATAAATATTAACCCATTGAATCCCACCGATATTATTTGTGGCCCAAGTTTACTTATGAGCTTGAAGGGTAGGTTATATAAAGAGGTTGCTATATTAAGGATCTATAAAGGTCTTATTCACATAAATCATATGATCACAGTACATGTGACCAGTTACATGTGACCAGTGGCAAAACATTTTGAATTAATAACTGATTGATTCACATTCAGTTACCATTCTGTTATTAAAATTGTAGAAATGAATGTATTATGAGATTACATTGTTATTTACAATAAACACATGCACACACACACACACACACACACACACACACACACACACACACACACGTCTGGTTTACTATATTTGTGGGGACTCCATAGACGACATGGTTGGTTTTGGTCATGAGGTTTTTGGATATATACAAATTTTTCCCCAAAATATATTTAAGTACACAGACATTGCAATCTATAATAATGGTTTTCTATTTGAATATAGATTAAAATGCTATTCTTTTAACTTTTACTCATCAATGAATATACTTTTTATGTATACTTTTTTATATACCCTGATATGACATTTACGACGTAATAAGACGTAAGAAAATAGGTCTTCTGGGGCCTATACCATGAAGCCGGTTTAGGTGGCTGGCCAGCTGTGTTTCAGTTTAGTTTGTGGCAACCCTGGGTTTTAGGTACCATGAAAGTGGTTTGGCTTTTAGCAGTGTTCATCGCCATAGTAACACACTCCACGGCTAACCTGATCCGTGGCAGGTTATGTTCCAGGTAAGAGGTTGCAAACCGAACTTGGACCAATCAGCTGTGAGCAACGTGACACATGTATGACGTGATAAAGTCACTCCACAGCAAATGATTTTAAAAGACAAAATCATGGCTTTTAGTAAATAAATTTGTATGATTTAGAAATTATTTCTGTAATTACTATACCCTAAAATGATCTCACATGTACAATTTCAGTTCATCAATTATTATTACGCAGATTTTAAATGAGTACGTATATAAAGGTAATATAAATACGCTTTAGAATCAATAAATGAAGCTATAAAATGACATGTGAGCTTAAATGTTAAATTCTCTCTATACCTTTATCAACTATAAACTAACTTCACAACTTAGAGCAGCGAGACTTTCTTTAAGTTGTCCTCTTTCATAGACAGCTATTTTCTTCTTGCTGTGTAAATTAGTTTAAATTCTTAATATTTTAATACTTTTATTTAATAAGTGAATTGTGGTACTTCTCTCACGAGAAATTAATTTCAATGAGTTTTGGAGTTTCACTCTTTCTCAGCGTGTGGTTGGCTGTTCGCTACTGATGTCACACCTAAACTCCTAAACTCAGGATCAAAGCCTGAGTTGACAGAGAAAGTTGATGATCATCATCATGGTACCAACAAAGCTTGGTTGGATTGGTTTGGTTTTGTCAACTCAAAACTAATCCTGCAACCCTGAGTTTGTTCAACTACCATCATGGTACAGGCCCCAGATCTAGATAATACGGTCTACGCTCTATGTCTACCTGACTATATACTATGTATTCTTTCGTGTAATCACTGGTGGTAAACGTTATGTTTTGAGTTTCATGCCATGCCTTTGTTTTATTTTTGATCATGTTTGGGGAATAGGCCTAAACTGCACTTGGGTTCTTCAATTTGCTGTTACGTAGAAAATACAGAAACTTAAAAAATCAAGCTCTAGCTAGAATTTCTGGTCAGAAAGAAAATAATTTTTTAAAGGTTTGTATTGTCCAGTAATTTTATATTACTTTCCTGTCACCTCACAATTTTGTAATGTTGATGCTTCACTGTTTACAACTAGGATGGAAAAAATACAATGAATGTCACAAAATGCGTTTTATTTTTTACTTAATTAAACATTTCATGACTTATGTAAAATTCTTGTAAAACATTGCTGGGTTGAAAAAGTTTCCATCATCGTCATAGTAGCAGGTCCCCCATGCCCGACAGTCGGTTATGTAATAGTGGACATTCCAGGTTATTTTCATGTCATGAAGGCCCTGAACATACACTACTGACATTCTAGACCTTCTCAGACGTCATTTCAGAGACTTGGTTCAGCATGGCTCAGCCTCATGGTCAACCTTAGATTTGGTTCAAAGGTTATCTAGTTGACTCATTTGCAATGGTCAGATCGGACAGGGCGTCAGACAGAATTCAGTTGACTCAACTTTTTGTACACATTTGAGTCGCAACAATTTTATGAGCTCATAAAGCCTGTAAAGTCACGATGTATCCAACAGATCAGAGAACTGAATCAGCTTTGCACTTTTGTGGCTCCCCCTGGTGGACTTTGGTGTAACTACGCAGTTCAAGTCCAGCTCTGATGTCAGTGAATCTTTTCCGTAGAAAACAGTTTAGTGTTTATAATGTTTGTGAATTTGCACTTTTGAATGTATTTATATTTGTTGAATTGCTCATAACGTACATATATGATCTGACTAGACTAAAACGTGGATTCAGTGGCAGCCGGCAGTAGCCTACCCACTTTTCTTTCCCCCATCCAGCCAGGAGCGCTGTTAATATCCCATTTTGCCTGTAGGGGGCAGACCGCACCAACTCACCTTTATAAACGGATACAGAGAATCAGTCGACTCCAACACACCAACCTCACCTTCCCACAGCCAAATGCCAGATCAGACATTATCCTTTCAGTTACACTTGGGGGTTTATTTACAGTCTCAATTTGTTCAGTTTGTGGAAAAGCATAAAAATAAGTGAAGGGTGTTCTTTTTTAAGTTCTACATTCACTGAATTGCCTGTGAACTCTGTTTGAATGCATTCCACAGGCTGTGTGGGCCATTGTACTGTTGTCTTTGGGGACCGGTCACACACTTACCAACACATACTCACACTAAAAAAAATTACGTTTTTCTTTTTACCCTTGCAATTTGACATTCTCCCTATAGTCTTTTCCTCTGACCAGCTCCACTACAGCTGGTAGATTTTGAAGCGATGGCTCCTTTTAACCAGAGCCTGGAGTAAAATTACACCCACTTATCATTAGATCAAACACCCCTTCCCCTCGTATTATATCCTTTCGTGTTGGCACACACACATCCAAACGCACACGCACGCAACCCTAACCCATGCCCTACTGATGACCATGCGTCTCTTGGTGGAGAATGTTTTTCATTCCTTCACTGTGTCCATGAATGCAGGCTTTGTCTACCTGCTCCATCTTAAACCCCCCTCTCTCCCCTCCATCTTCCTCCTTTCCCAACTTTCTCTGATCTATGTACTGGCCATAACTGCCATGTGTAATTCGTGAAACTCAAACGCATTTTGCTCAAAGTAAATGAAGAAATTAGGATGGCAATATTTCCAACACACATTCTGACTGCAACCATCATTTATTCATTAAGCCCTCATTATTGATTATCAGTTGATTCTGTAACACATATTTTGCAACCAAAAATATGTAAAGTATGTACGATACACTACCATTCAAAAGTTTGGAGTCAGTAAGGTTTTTTAAATATATTTGAAGTGTTTGATGCTCACCAAGTCTGCATTTACTTGATTAACATTATTACCATTTGTAGGAACTTTAATATATTTTACATATTTGAGATTGGATGTAATGTGATCAGAAACCCATTACAAGTAATTAGATTACTTTTCCCAAGTAACTAAAGTAACATTACTTTTAAATTCACAGCTATATGTATTTATATTTATATATATATGAAGACTTATATTATGCAAAAGCCGCTAAGTCCTTATAATGTTTGTTTTTAATTTTAACATTTTATCAGGCTCCTGTATAGGTTTCTGTCCAAGTACTGGAATTTCTGAATGGGCTGAGGCTGGGATTTTGTGAGTTTGAAGTGAAAGTATTTGATGAACATATACTATGTGTGGAGAGTATTCACTCAATACTATCTAATTTTTCTCAAGGTGGCTTTTAGAGGATTTTCTATCGGAGGTCTTCATATATATATAAGACTTTTATCAAAGTCTGTTTGTGTATATAATTATACTGATTTATATTGCACATATAGATTCTTCTTTTGTGTTTATTTTATTTTATTTAAAAATGTATTTATTTTATTTTATTTATTGGACCTGGCTTTGATTGTTGTTCTTTCTGTGCAGTCTTCTTCTTCACTTTATGATGCTGGTGTTGTATAAGAATAGGTATCCACATTCTACCTGGATTCTTAGAGACTGCAATGTCCGCAAACAGGGCCAGTTTCTCAGGCCAGTTCACAGGACTTTCACCCTCGAATTTGTACCAGGGAGCTGCTAAGAATGCAGAATTCTGTGGTGAACTGTTTGTTTTGTTTAAGTAATCATTGTGTGTGTTTGTGTGTGTGTGGGTGTGTGTGTTCATAGATCCAGCATTGGTAAACACTATTGGTTCCACTAAAAGTAAACTACATGAAGCATTGGTTTTGTACAGAGCTATATGATATAAAATCCCACCTGAGTCAATATTACAAAAGCCTCAATGATTTAGTGCAAGATTTTCAAACATTTTGATGTGAAAGATCCCCTTATGACCAAATCCTGAAATTTTTTTGTGGACCCCCCTATAGTTCCTCTGGAGGACCCTGGACCGCCATTTAAAAAACCAAGAGTTTTGATTAAATCAAATAGTAAAAGCTGGATCAGAGATGAAACGCATTAAGTTTTGGATAAAGTCAAAAAGGGAGCTGTTAAACCCAGACAGTGGTGTCCTGGATAAATTAAGCTCATTTGTGGCCTAAATCACTCTATCAACAGGGACTCTTCATTCAGAAAATCCCAGGACACCAGCCTC